GTGTGTGTGTGTGTGTGTGTGTGTGTGTGTGTGTGTGTGTGTGTGTGTGTGTGTGTGTGTGCGTGTGCGTGTGTGCGTGTGTATGTGTGTGTGTGTGTGGGGGGGGTGTCATTCTACAGATTATATCGTTCCAGATTTCTTCAACTCGCGGGCGGCTAGGCGTAAGCAGCAGTTGTGACAGTTGATACATCACAGGCTGGGTTAGACCACATTAGGGGTGAATAATGACAAATAATTCTTTCAATAATTGTCAACGCATGACCGCACGCCCGCATGCACGCACGCACATGCACACACACGCACGCACTCTCTCAACCGCCTTCTATTCTTACCGGTTCCATTTAGCTGCCTGTAAGAGCGTCCTTTCTGCCTCATCCACTTTGCCGTGAGAGTAGAGCCAGTGTAGTGACTCAGGTATCACGCTGCGATGTAACATTAGATCGTAGCGTTATATATATATATCGATACTTATAAAAAGATCATAATAAGTATTGTTAGCTCTTGATACTATATATAGCGTTAGAAGCCGCTTTGCAGCCATCAGCGTCATAACAAGAGAATAAATTGATTGAAATATTTCATCGGNCACACACACACACACACACACACACACACACACACACACACACAGACAGCCTCCCTCCCCACACACACACACACCGGCTCACCTCTCCAGTAGATAGACGTTGGCGATGTAAGCGGGAATCTCTACGAGACCCGAAAGGAAGCAGTTCCAGTACATGTTGCCGACGAGCACGGACGTGCCCAGCGAGATGCCGAAATATACGAGCGCCGCCGAAAACCTGCGACGGAGAGAACAGACAACAGTCAAACTAGCGGCCACCTCTATAGAACGGTCAACCTGTATTAGCGGGCCACCTCTATAGAACGGGCAACGTGTGTTAGCAGGGCCACCTCTATAGAACGGGCAACGTGTGTTAGCAGGGCCACCTCTATAGAACAGTCAACCTGTGTTAGCGGGACCACCTCTATAGAACGGCCAACTTGTGTTAGCGGGGCCACCTCTATAGAACGGTCAACGTGTGTTAGCGGGCCACCTCTATAGAACGGTCAACGTGTGTTAGCGGGGCCACCTCTATAGAACGGTCAACGTGTGAACGGTCAACGTGTGTTAGCGGGGCCACCTCTATAGAACGGTCAACCTGTGTTAGCGGGGCCACCTCTATAGAACGGTCAACCTGTGTTAGCGGGGCCACCTCTATAGAATGGTCAACCTGTGAACGGTCAACGTGTGTTAGCGGGGCCACCTCTATAGAACGGTCAACCTGTGTTAGAGGGGCCACCTCGACATCGAAAACCTGCGATGGAAACAGACGACAGTAACGACACTTATTAATGTGACCATGACAATTATTATTGGGATGTTTTTATGTAATTATAAATAATAAATGTATATATATTATATAATGTATTTATATGTAATTATAATTAGTAATAATTACAAAGTTATTATTATTATTATTATTATTATTGGGATGTGTTTTATTTATCAGATAGTAGTTTGCACTGAACATTTCGTGTCTGAATTTCGTGTGCCGCTTAGGGGTGGGGTTAGACTAGGTGTAGATTCAAACTTGTATCAACGTATATATATATTCACACTGTGACTAAACTGAGTGTGGGTTGCTGCGTCACACCTACCAGGCAAAACACATGAGCAGCGCATAGAAGCGAAGATTCGGCGTCCGCAGCACGAGAAGCATTTTCATGATTTGCGTCGTGGCGCCACCTGTCGTCTCCTTATTCTTAAGACTTTGCGACTTCAGCTGTCTGAGCATCTCGCTGGGTATTGTCACCCTGCGAAGAGAAGCGAAGGTGACGTGTATGTGTGTGTGTGTGTGTGTGTGTGTGTGTGTGTGTGTGTGTGTGTGTGTGTGTGTGTGTGTGTGTGTGTGTGTGTGTGTGTGTGTGTGTGTGT